AGAATATTGATTGTAAAATCATTTGTAACATACAATCTAGATTTAGCCTTATTGATTCACAATAATATGATATATATTTAATTATAAAGTGTATTAATAATTATAGCGGAAGTTAAAAAAGTTAATAAGTATAAAGTTATATTATTTTCTTAACTAAATTTATTTCTATATTAATTAAATTTATCATATTATGAATTGCTATGATTAAAATACAGATAAATCATAGATAAAAATATTCAGCATATGAGTATTGTAATAAAAAATGTACAAATGAATAAATAAATAAATAAAATAAATGAACTACTATAATATATTTTTAATTTAATTTTAATCAACATTATTAAAAATATATATTTTTAATATTAGTTGAAATATCAATCTTAAAACAATAACAAAATTACAATAGATTTGTTATTACCTATATATGAAAAAATATGTTATAAAATAATGCTTATTTTAAATAATTATATTTGCAATTTTATTGCGCATGCCTCAAGGAGGCATGTATCTATGATTCTTGATTCTATCTTTCATCACTTTATTATTTTTGTTTAAAGTATTATTATCCTACATAATGTTTATGAATGAGAATTTATCAAAAAAATGTTTTCTATTAAAAATGAAAACTGCAAGGGAACAGCGTATTAACGAAAAAGATCGAGAAAATGCTGCTCGTCGCATTCAAAAATGTTTTCGAATTTGGATAAGTCGTAAACGCTTTACGAATACGATTTTGTAAGTTTAAATAAATTAAGAAAATTAATATAATTAAATATTAAATTGATGTTTATTTACAAATATTTACTAAATGTTTAGTTACTTTATACTATATTGCATATATAATATTAATGTTTAAAGCACGTATTCTATTAAAATAATGGAGAACTGTTTATTAGGTATTATGTTAGGAAAGTAGCAATTAAATAAGTTATCCTTTTAGTTAATGTGAATTGAATTCTACTCTTAAATATTACAATTAAAATTTGAATTGCAAAATAATATTTGTTAATAAATTCCAAAGATTTTATAAAGAATTTTATACTGGTAATTATAATTATATGTAAGGGTATTGGATCAAGTCCAGGTATTAGACTATGAAAAAATTTATATTAAATATATATTGTCAATACTATAAAAAGCTGTATTTTTAATACCTATTTTATTGTAATTTGAATTATTTTTTGTTTATAAAAGAAATTTATATATTCTAGACATGTTTTAAAAATAATACAAATATGATTCTTTTCTTTTAATATATTTTTAAATTATACTTTTTAATTTAATAAATAATCTTTAGAACATTCTAATATTCTAATTCATAATATATAATGTATATTTTTAGAATATTAAAAAACTATCAATATTATTTGTGGTATAGGCTAATTTATATTAAATGCTTTAAGTTTCATTAATTTTTAAAAGATAATATTATAAATATAAAATGATGAATTAATAAAAATATATCGAAAATATTAATTGTTTTTAAACACCTTTTTTATGTCTATGATGTTATAGAATATTAAATTAATAATTTATATTATTTTGTTTTACTGGTTTTTAACTGATTATTTAAAATAGATTGTTCCAAAAATTGATAAGATATATTTAAATAATTTATATAAATTAGAAAAATAACAGTTTGTTCAGAATAAAAAAGGATGCAATATGAAAAAAGAAAATAAAATAAAATTAATCTTATTTATAATGAATAGATATAAAAAAAGAAATAAAAATAGTTCATATAAATATGCATGAAAAAAATTAAAGATTAAGATATAGGTAAACCAATTCTAAATAAGAAAAGTAAAGAAAAAGTGAAATATCTGAGAAAGAGAAAAATTCATAATATTTTATATAAAGAACTGTGTATTATATTAATATGCGACTATAATAAAAAACTTAGTAATTTAATTTAAAATTTAAAATCTATTTTTTTTTAATTCTGAATAATACTGACATTAATATATATATATTTTAAATCTGTTTATAATAAAGAATTAAAACTTTTTATATATTAAATTATCAATCATTATAATTAAAGTTAAACCTATCTATAAAATATCGATAAAATAAATCAATAAAGCATTAAAATGAAATAGAATTATAATTTATTTAAAAGGTTATTAAAACTAATTTGAATGGCTTTTAAAAAAAGTAATATGAAAATATATTTAATAAGTACTAGTGCTAATACAGATTGTAATTACTTTTTTTTATGTGAGTCAATTGTAAATATTAATTATTTACTTTTTCTTATAATAATATGATTTAGTAATTCTTATAGAGATAGCATTTGAAAATTGATTGTTATTAAAACGTAATAACATTTTTGTAATGGGGTATCTACCCCATATTATAGCTCTCTTGATTAGAAATACTATACATATATTTATATGTATACTATAATAAATATATCCAAGTTTACACCTTAAATAGTAGAGCATAATACTAAATATGATTTAATAAATACTCTGTTCGAAATTACAGTCACCTGGTGGTAGAAGAATCAAGATGTATAAGACCATATCCACCATTTTACTAATAAAACAGTGTTAATAAGTGAGAGGTTAATGCTTTAATTCAATAATCAAAATAATTGTTTTTCGTGATATATATTGAGTTTTGATTTACAAATAAATACTAATGATTCTACGTTAGTGGTGAGAATGGTTGAGATTTTACTGTTCCTTAGTAGTTTTTTCATGTGGAGATAGCGTGCACTGCAAGTCAAGGTTAGAGGTTGTAAATCTCCGGGTCCTCTTAGTGAAAATTACTACACAGAGAACTGCAAGATCGTAAATCCTTGACACTCCTTGTATAGTGCTACGTATGGTGTTTTAAGTACGAATCCCCTCTTGATGACTAAATAAAATGATTCAATACCTCAGTGTATCTTGGTAGTGCGCGCTGTGGGACTTATCGAGATGTAGTAGGTATTGTCTCCATAATCTGAAGTACAGCTCCGGTTATAGTAACGTCTTAGTACTTGAATACAGAGAGCAGCTCCAAATACAATGACGTCTAATACAGAAGTTGTAATATATTAATATATTTTATGATATATATTATTTTTATTGATGGAAAATATTAAGTATTTTTGATGTAGTGATAAAAGTATTAGATATTGAACATCTAATTTAGAGAAAAAAGAAAATAAAATAAATTATACACAGCATTAAATACAAATTTCTAATAAAATATAGAAAATTGTTATAGACAAAGTTCTTGAAGTTTTAGAAAAAAAGATTGCTGTTCTCATTTGTTTTCTTTTAGTTAAATGCTTGACAAAAAAATTTGTCAATTATGTCAATTATAAAGTTCTAAATATTTAGTGCTAGATATATATTACTCTTTAACTTTACTTTTAAATATCACATTAATTTTATTTAGAAATAAATGTTTATTACAAAATATATATAATATATAGATTATTTTAATACAGTAATAGAGTTTCCAACATTACATCAACTTACAATAATAATTATAAGAATATAAATACAATGAAAAGAAATTATTTATATAAGAAATTTGGAAAGGAATAGTATGAAACTTATATTTATAATAATTTTTAAAACATTAAAGGATTATGTATAAAATGTATATATGCAATTGACAGTGTATTTAATATTTTTATTGAATGCAATTAATAATAAACAATTTTTATTTTCATATAAAACTGAATATTAAAAAAAAATTGTCATTTAAATCAGTACTTCATTGTACTGAAAGCATTTTCAAATGTTGGTAAAAAATGATTAGTTTATATAATAATTCAAAAATATACATACAATTAATTTGGTTAAACTTTTTGAGTAATTATAATAACTCTTTTTAGTTTAGCTTCTTTAACATTGATTTTTATTCGTATTTATGTTTCAATTCGATTTTCATTGTTGAGCAATATTTAAAGTGAAAATTATTAAACTTTATATATAATAAATAATATTATAAATATAAATTGAAATAAATATAAATATAAGTAAATAATAAAATAAAACATAAAAATAAAAAAAAATATTCGTGACATGTGTACAGAATGTGATATAGGATAAGGAATTAAATTTATTAATAATATCTGTTTATATTAAAATGACCAGCTGTAAGGCTCAGGATCATTTTAATATTTTATTATTTCATGAGTTCATGAAAAACAATATAATACTAATAAGTATTTTGGGACCAATGCAAAGTATATAAACTTCTTACGTGTCACATTTTTTACTAGTTTTATTAATTACATTAATCCAAAATTGTGACTTTTCTCTTGGAATATAATCTGGCCTTTGGGTCACTCTTATTGGCTCATATATATTTTGGACGACTGAGATCTATTGTATCAAGATATTCATTTATTCTACATATGTATATCGTAGTCATATTTATACGTATCTATAGTGCACATTGAAGGTATTTAAAAATCATGATTTATAAATAAATATACATTATAACTTGATTTAGTCATTCCATTATATAGAATTTTATAGTATATTTGATATCGATATCAATATGCGCGCGTGTGTATTTTTAGTACATTAAAATAAATTTGTCTCATCGTTGTATTTACCATGTTAGAATAATAAATAAAATGTTGGTTTATACTTAAATAATTGCTGTATTCATAAAATACAAGTAAATTTCAAAGATTTCTTAAAAATAATTATATACGTTGGATAAACAAGAAAAACAAGACACTGCTATTTTGTAGCATAGTTAATACATTTTAATATTTACATAACAGATAAAAAATTTTTAACAATCTTAATAATATTTTTTTAAATTAATCTATTATAGTAAAATGATTATATGTTTCAAAAGATATTTATATATTTATCAACATATAACGAGCACGTGTACTAACCCGTACGCAAGCCGCAAAAATACAGTCATGCATATGTAGAATTGAAAAATAAAAATAATTAATTTTTACAGGATGAACTTTGATATTATTTTTTATTGTAACGCTACAAATGATCAGAATATAAAAATGATACCTGTTATACAAATTTATGAAATTCTCAGTAAATTCTTAACAATTTATAATAAAAAACGGGATAGAGAGCGAATGGAAAAATTATGCAAGTAAGTTATAACTATAAATTTATTTATTAGTATATAATAATATTAAAAATTTCAGATATCTCGTATTGTCACTTGATTCTGAATCACCTATATTTTCATACATAGGAGTGGCTTTGATAAGAGATAATTATATTTTGTGGATATATCAATTAAAATCTATTTTACGATATTGTTTACTTGAACTAGAAGATCTACATCCCGAACAACCAACAGATAATAAATCTATTCTTTTAAGATTGCATACATTAGTAAGCTTTACATCAACGCAAACGTGGTCCCTTATGAGATTATCAGAAATGCAAAAACTTAAAGTAGGGATGAATCAGCTTTGTGCTAATATAATGAGATATTTAATGAAAAATGATTTTTACAAAATAATGAAGGTAATTTATTAGCAGATTATTGCAATATTACTACTAAATTATCGTGAAACTTTGATAATTTAAAGTTGGTAGCTTTACCCTTAATTTCTATTAAGTAAATTATAAAAAGAAAAAAAGCCAGGATAATTATTCTTATTAAAAATAAAAAAAAAATTGATAAAATTCGATATTTAAATAATAATAAATTTATTGAAATAAAAATGTGTATACCCTTATAAAGCAATACGACCTATGTCTTAAATTATATTAAAAATGGAATATATTTAAATTAGTTAAATATTAGAAATTAATTTGCATTAATAATTGCATTAAAATTCTATTTGAAAAAGATAGTTTAATGCAGAATGATGACAACGAATGAAATACCAACATCAATAAGTAATTATGACAAATTATAACATTGAAATATTAGATAATAATAATTAAAAATAATAAAATTTACTTCAAAATTTTTAAAGTACATTATATGTTTAGACATAATATTTGAAAAAAAAGTTTTGTCTATAAACAGCAGTCCGATTTGTCATGCGGTAAAATATTTACAGGAAGCATATACATGAGCAGTCATATTCACACTCTGATAGAAATAGTCAATTTGATTTTAAATTAGAAACTAGTTATCACCTTCGAGCTATATGGCAAACAATTTAGCTTTCAAATTTAAAACAAATAAGTGCTATATCATATTAAATTAAAAATAAAAAATGTATGATAAATTTCTAAATATAAGTTGGATATAATATTTACACAATGTATAGAGAGGGTACTATTGATATAGTAATATAATTTATGTTACAATATATATCCACCCTATAGCACCTTCTGCAAACATATATAATACATAAATATATGAAGTATAGTGATCCTGATAGCAATAATTATAACACAAACATACGTTTATATTATTCAGTAGCGTAACTCGATATTTCCAAAATTATGCGCTATATAAAAAATGGAAAATTATTAGAAAATGATTATAACTCACTGTCTAATTAAAGATGCTTGTAAGCTTGTATTTAAGAGACAGAAAAATATATAAGTACGTATAAGATGATAATTTTGCTTAGAATTCCGAAATTGCTACATATATTAACATTCCACAAGTGCTTTGCCATGTGTTTTTTTTACAATGCTTTCAAATAGTAATGTTGTTATTTATATAAAACTAATATTTAAAGTTCTAAAATCATCGAATATTATTAATAGATCTAAGCAGACGTAATCTTATTAGACAAAAAATAGGAACATGATAATTTACATATTCTTTAATATTAAGAATAAAGAATAATTTTTAATGATATTATTTGTGCTAGTTCGTTAAATTATATTAAATTATACTAGATATTTATTAACAAATTAAAAAACGAACAATACATATTAAAATCTCATCTACATCTCTCCACACTGAGTCGCTCATTAAAGAAAAGACCGAACATCTAAAGTTAGTTGTATAGTCATAAAACGAGTAATTAAAATGAAATTCAAGAAAATATTCAAATTGATTGCAATGTGATAATTTTAAATGAAATATTCTAAATCAATTATATCATAGTATTTTACGACAAAAGCATATCAAATATAAACTTTTAAAGATGATAGATGAACTACCAATTATAGTATAAAAATGATAATAAAAATATACTAATATGATTCTAAGAATGATCATAATATTTACAGAGAACAAGTTTACTTATATATGATTAATTAATGTAGTGACAAATAATTTAGTAACTTATTTTACCATTCTGTTGGAGATAGATTACTAGATATAATACTACAGAAGTTACGATGTACCACTGACGTTAACAAAAACGTACTTCGGTAATATGTATTGTATGCAATATTTATCATGATAATTTTTTTATAAATATGGCTCAAACGTATAATAATAATATATAAATTATAAAAGCAGACTTTCCTGATATTTTTGTAAAATTATGATTAATAGAAAAATGATATAGATCAATTACCTAACAAAGAAAGAATAATAATATTCTTATTGAAAATGATGTAGCATTATGATCAATTTTTGAATTTACCTATCTTATACTTTCATATTTTTTATTATTATGAGATTATTGGTATTAAATATCCCACATATAAAATAGTATGTACATTTCCATGATTAATTGGTTAATGTTTGACTTCTATTGCTATTTCAATATTTTCTTATTTAACTGAAAATATGGTACAGAAAGTATACCAGAGTAACCGACAGAAATATACTGTTAAGTATCTCATATTTTATGTTAGAGTATTAATCAAGTTAAGATTTAACGCTGCAATAGGCTGTACTTAAATAGTCATTAGATATAACATGACTACCGAGATGCTCATTATAAAGTACTTGCTACTTATGTACAATTAGAAAATTAGAATTTAATAAAATATATGAAACAACAAAAATGATACAGGAGAAAATATTAATTATATCTTATCTAAATTATTAAAATAAGAATGGAGAAAACTTCATCAATGAGATGTTATAAGTAATAATACAATGTTTAATGATATCAGTGTTTTTGACTATTAAAAATCCAGTCAATTAAGACTAATTATTTATATTAAAGAGGAGTCTTCGGAATTCCAGTCACCTGGTGGTCGAAGGACCAAGATGGTTGGATTAGACCATATCCACCATTTTACTAGTGAAACAGTGTGAATAAATGAGAGGTTAATGCTTCAATTCAATAATTAACACAATTGCTTTTCGTGCTATTTATTGAGTTTTAATTTACAAATACACAATTATGATTCTATGTCGATGGTGAGAATAGGTGAGATTTTGCCGTTCCTTAGTGTTTTTTTTTCACGTGGAGGTAGCATGTAGTGCAAGTCGAGGTTGGAAATTCTAAATCTCCGGGTCCCCTTGGAGCAGGGCGCTTGGTGGGAATGAGAAGTGTACACTGAGAAGTGAAAGGTCGTAAATCCTTGACACTTCTTGTATAGTGCCACGTATGTTGTTTTACATGCGAGTCTCCTCTTGATGTATAAATATAAAAATGGTTTAATAGGTCAGTGTATATTGGTAGTGCGCTCTATGGTATTTATCGAGATGTAGCGTGCAGTGACGTCTTGAAGCAGATGTATCAGAAGTTTTGGCGCCTTGATCCAGAGTGGAGATATAGTATGTGGTAACGTCTTGATACAGATGTAGTATAGAAGTGTTGGCGCCTTCATCCAGGATGCAGTTGTAATATGTAGCGACGTCTTGATGAAGATGTAGTAGAGAAGTTTTGGCGCTGCGATTGAGAATGCAATTGTAATATGTAGCGACGTCTTGTAGTACACCGTGTTTCCTCCTAGTTATCTCAAGCAAGTACTGCGGTGTCCCCGGTAAGAGAGAATATACCTTGATCCAGAATCTTTGATCAATTGATCACAAGATTTACAATCAAACGATATCAATGTTTTATATATGATAAACTATATTTAAAAATATAAATAGAATAAATAAATGTTTTGACTGGTGTTCAAGTTTAAAATATACTATTATATAAATAATTGAAACTAATTTTTAATAATATTTAGAAAATAACTAATATAAAGTTTCATTTATATTTATTGTTCATATTATATTAAATTATCAAAGTTTTAACAAAATAAGATGTCCACACATTATTAAATTTAGATATCTTCGTGATATAATATTTTAGAATCTTCTTATCAAGGGTTTGTGCAGACAGATAATTACGTTACAACCTACTGCATTAGCTGCTATAACAACATTGACTCTTAGACCATTACTTTTTTCAAAAATATCGGATAAATTATTTTCGGTGTTTATAATTAATATCATCAGTGTACCTGCGTTAGTGTGTCATTTGAATGATATGGTAAGTAATATATATAATAATAATCCTTTTTATTAATGTACTAGAAATATATGTATATTTTCATAGTGTAAAACAAAAAAAATCTTGTAATAATGCATGTGCTTGTTTGCGAGAATTTTTAGTGGTATGATGTTGAGTTCTTATAGTTATATGACTATTTACATCTACCAAAAAACGTTAAATAAATAAATAAATAGATTAGACATCATTTTTATTGAGATATACCGTCTTTAATGTATATCTTGTAAAAATGGCGTGTTTTCAAAAAATTAATTTTCTCTCTGATACATGTGATGCATGAAAAAGCCCTTACGGAAATTATATTTCCCAAAAAGTATTTGATCCAACCAAGTTACCATCAAATATATTTAATAATTTAACAATTATTAATATTTAGTTTATAGTATAAATTTGTGATGATTTAATTTGTTTCCTAGGTTTAATTACTCTTACATAAAGAAAATTATTTCTATTCATTAAAGGTTTTCAATACTATATCATTATATATTTCTATAAAATAGAAATTATGAATACATTGTTATTTTATTTTTAGTATTTTCTATTTCCTTTAATTTATATTGAATTAATTACCAATTATTCAAAAAATATATTAATTGTGAAATAAAAACACAAAAACATATTGTTTCACTTATATGCAACTTAGTAAAAAAGTATTTAATAACTACTACAGTAATGTTAAATCAAAATTAATTTATTAATTGACTTTCTTGAGCATATAATTTGAATATAATCGAAACGCTTAAATTTTATGAATACATTGATTTCTAAAAAAAAATGTAAATCGTATATATATTTATATATATTTATACTCAAGAATTTATTAAACGAATTGTGTGTTAAATACAATTAATTTGATACTGTAGAAACAATTACAATGCAAAATGATACATACCATACTACGGACTGATTCGATACATTGTAATACAAAGAGTTTAATAGTGTAATGAAAATGTAACTGAGTGGTAGTCCATACATGTTCGAAAACATCAACATGTAAAAATCATAAATATCTAAAAATAGATATAATAAAATTATTCTACTTTTATGAAAAAACTATATCAAAGGAAATGGCAGTATGAAATATAAAATAATTTTTAAATAATTTTAAAAAATAAAGGGAAATAAATTATTCAATTATAATAGAAATCAATAATACAGTCAAATTTATTAAATCTTAAACTACTTTCTAATAATGCAATAAATATATATTTACAAGATCATGTAATAATGTATTAATTAATTTTAATTACTTTTAACGAAATTGTATGTATTGTAAATCATACATTGTTTTTAATATTGCTTATAATATAAATATTTATATTCATCTCATTCATTAAAAGTGCAAAATAGATGAGTTGACAATTTTTATTGCAATATAATTTTATGTATTATTTAATTCTAGATACATCTATATGATTATTTAATATTAATAAATATAGTTTGTACTAAAATTAAGTATTTGTAATATTTAGGATAGATCTCCAAGCATATCATTATTCAAGCAAAATAATTTATTTGTGAAAAGCATTAAATTTTTAAACAATGAATTGAATGCAAAAACTATTTTCAGTATTTTAAAACGCAATTATACACTATACTTACTGGCAAATTTAATAGAACTAGCTAATATAGAATATGACAGAATTTCGAATGATATTTATTATCCTGATTTCACAGTATGTTATTAATTTTTTTTTTGTTATTGAACATATATATATTATAATTTTATTTATTAATTCAAATTTTACATTGTATTTTAGTTTGTTATCACCAGTTTGCTTGAATTCTGTCAACAATCTGTAATAAAAAAAAAGTGCAATACAACCTATTGGCATCCAATAATTGGATGGCTTGAACAACCTGAAGAATTTTCATTTCACGAAGTTATGCCTAAAGTTAAAAAACAACTTTCATATCTTTGGACAGGAAAAATTATTACACATTTAATTTGTAAGTTTAATTCTATAAATTAAACAAAAAATTAATTTTAATAATTATATTTTTGTGTAGGTGAACCACTTGAAGAGTTTGTAGGGAGAGATTCTTGGTTACAGCTAAATTCTGAAAGTACTTCTGCTACTAATTTTGTTTATAAAGTATTTTCCGAAGTAAAAATGAAAAAAAAAAAACAATATTATAAGCTAGACAGTCAAAACGCAATAAAAATTTCTTTGATATGTAAATTATATCAAACTGCGTTAAATGCATTAAAGGAAATAAAACCTATTATTCTTACCGGTAAATAAGTTTATATATTGTTTCATAAATATATACTGTATCTAGTATAATATAATATGTTTATGTTATCATAAAACTATGCATTAGATAATTTAAAATAATTTTTTAATTAATTTTAATTTGAAATAGGTCTTTGTTATAAAGATAAAAAAATATTATATAATTTATGGACATTTTTGAAACGTCTTGGGCCGAACTGTGGTCTTAAAGCATTTCTAGATCACTTAACTGTAACAACGAAATGCGTGTCTCCAGAATTCCAAATGTTAATATTATTTTGCGATTGCATGACTCATTTTATAACGTAAGTATTTAAAAAATTTTGTTTACAATTTGATATATAAATGCTAGTATTACTTTGTAATTTAATAAAAATAAATAAACATACATTATATTTTAACAGTATTTTAGATGATATAGAAATGTACGAGCAACAGGATCTATTTAAACTTTCGGACTTTACTTCTATGTCATATTTTTTTAATCAATTTCTTTATAAATCTATATTAAATAATTTATTTGGTGAGTATATTATTACATTTAATAATGCTTATGTTAATAATTATTATAATAAATGAACTCATCTAATTTTGTATGCAATATATATAAATATAAACATACAAGTATCTTAATATCGAACATTGTTATCTCGTATCTCTTCAGTTTCTCACTATATAAATGTGTTAATATTTAAATTTAATGTTAATGTTTAAAGATTTGGTTATTGTATCCGATGATCCGACTCGCTTCACCAAGGTGTAGCAATCCGGGTCGAAGGATTAAATTGTTTAAAATTAACTAAAGAACCGCGAGATGTTATGTGGCAAAAATGCCTGGGCAAGTGGAAGGGTTAGTGTATTGATTCAATATTTAACACATCTCTTTTTTATTGATGTTTATTCCATTTACTTTCTATTACAGGGATGAATTTTTGTATGAAACCTGTATGAACTCTTGCAGCTTTTCGGCAGTTAGCATGTGGCGTTTGTGTGCAATTTGATGGAAGAAGGAGGTGGTACCCTCGCAATGTGGTGCCCTTGATCGTAGGTTATCCTTAGAACGGAGAGATTATAAAGCTCATACCACTTCTTCGAGTAGTGCCACGTAGTGAATCTCCTACTACTTCGTGCACTTGGGTACAAGCAGCTTTTATTAGAGGTTAGGATCGACAAGGTATGAAACTGAAGGGTCGATGCAGGCTTCTTGCGTGGCGCGGGCTAAAATCTTAGGCTCGGGCTGGCTACTGGAGATACCATGTGAACTGGTGGCACAGCACTTTATATTAAAAATTTATATTAAAAGATTACAAACGAAGACATGACTTCCGACTTAGCTGAGGGGACTTCCCCTTTTCCTTGGTGACTTCAACGTGAGTACTAGCGAGTGGTAGTTGGATCGGCAAGGTGGGTGCTGAATGGTGCGAAGATACAGGCAGTGGCATTAGTCAGGATAATGTTGCGTTTGCCTTTGAAACGGCCTTAATCCCTGAAGTATGCCCGGTGACTTGGCTCCTGGAGAGACCTTCGGTGGAAGATGGTGGGTATGGCGCCATGAATTGACGACATTGCAAGCGAAGACATGGCTTCGAACTCAGCTGAGGGGATTTCCCTTTTCCTTGTTGACTTCAAAGTGAGTGTTTGAATATTTATCCCTCTTAAATAGTTCACTGACCCAAGTGTCCATTTGGGATCCCTTCCCTTTTTTCGCGTCCAATCAGAGAGCTTGTCGACTCATGGGCGAAAGCAGCTCCTTTCGCGGCATAGTCTTTAGTCAAGGAACTCATTCTTTTAGTTGATCTCGAGCCAAGAAGAGCTCCTGATTCCATTACCATCGACGAATTTAGCGACCACATGGCAGACTTGAAAGAATGGGCAGGGACGAATGCATACCGGTTGGTCATAACGATTGGGTGGAGGTTGGGCAACCATCTCAAGAAAACTCTAACATCTTAGTTTTTCAGATGTTTTATGATTTGTTTTGCCAGATGTTTTATAAGCAGGAATTTTCAGGAGTCGAACGACTAGCTAATTCTTTTGAGTTTGCAAGATGTTTACCGACTTAAAAAATGTTCTCGCAACCTCGAACAGTTATGTATAATTCTGACTTTACTGTACGAAAATATGTAAAGCATATTATGAAATAATTAGATAAGACAATGCATAATTAACAAATAATATAATTATTAAATACATAAAACAACAGCGTATAATAAGTTGAAAAACAGATTTCACGGAAAATAATGATATCGTGATTATTTCACAACAGTGAGAAATAATAAAACAAGTTCTAAGAAATTATTTGGATGAGTGATATATCTAATGCTTGACTGATAGTAACAATTTAATTTATATATTTCTTTTTGCATTCATATGTGAATGAATAAAAAAGATTACTTGCAAAGAATGTACATAATTTATTATTAATTTTCAAAAAAATACTCTGAAACAACTCCTCAGTACATATTTAAAAATAAGTTTAGGTTTTACTAATTTCTAAAAAACAAATTGAAGTATCAGTGAATAATCAAGTTAAGAATTTTAATTATTTAATTAGTAGAATACCTACGGTTCAGTAATAGATTGCAATTTACAAAATTTTTGCTTACAGTTTAAGAGTACATTTTAATGGTTCTAATAGAAATTCAGATAGTTATAATTATCTCTGTATACTGATAAGTTTTATTAAATATAATATTTTCTGATACGAGCTTTATCTTGGTACTTATCGTTATGATAAAGAAATTAATTAAATCATTTTAGATAGTTTATGTTTATACCTGGGATACATTATTAAATATATGTTATAAATCGTATTTTATTTACAATGGTTCAACAATCCTTTGAATAGTAAATTATATGGAGGTACAGAATTATTAAGAAGTATACACGTATACTTCAAATGAAAATAGAGCAGAGAAATATTTTAATTATGTTTTAATGTAAGGAAATGCTATGTGTACAAAATGCACCTCAACGTTCCGACTTGTTTTATCAAGGGCGGTTCGACGGATACAATTTGTTGCCGTTGACAACTCAGAGACTACAGGTGTTGTGTGGTAGCGATGACAGATATGGCTGAAGTATATGCTTTTTATTCTGTTATTTATTAATGACAAGGTTGACTAGTATTACTATAATTACTTGTAGAACTAAATTCTTGATTGAAGTGATGTGTTGCGGAGACAACTGTACAATAATCTATGCAGTTTGATTATTGAATACGAATGGCGAATGGCGCGAAGTTTCGTTCGTCGACACTAGCGCCTTTTGAACGAGGACGTGTGTGGTTGAGGTTATGAATGCGGCTTTATGATTGAAAAATATCGCAAGTGGCGAGAAACTGGATTGCCTACACTTGCGTTGGGTTTTGCTTACTTTCGTAAGCTTCCGAACTTGAACTAAGGTGAGGGTTACGAAGTGAGATGCCCTTTGCGGGCGCGAAACTTGACGACGCGTACTGGAATTTATTCCGCACTGTCGTTTTAAGAATAGCTTCTTCGTTCTTAGTACTTGTCGATGTAATACTCTGAATCTCAATATATATATAATTA